GAAGTCAACACTGGTGGGTAGGGGGGGAGAGCAAGGCGGGCTGTTTGCCTGCTGGCTTCCAATTCCACACAGCTGTGCCCACGCCAGGAAACCAAGCCGGTTCTGGGGTGTCACCGATGCCCTTGGAGAATGCTCCCATCAAAGGTTGGGGTACTCATGGCTTTTGGATGTACAGGATCAGGTACAGTCCTGCCATCTGAGGTTGGGGAGTCTGGGGGTGGTCACTGAGACAGTCATGAAATCCAAGGGGTAGTGTGTGTGATGGGGGTACACAGAAACAAGCAGGGCCAGGCCCTGGAGCAGCCGGGTTCTCCCGCCCCTGCACCTTCTGAGCCTCTAGCACCCCAGAAGCCCTCCATATGCATGCACATATTCCCAAATATTTCTCTCTCCAAAGCAAGAGAAGCTGAAATTAACTCCTCCACTCACCCCCAATACACACAGCCGCAATCTCCCATCCAGGGCTGGCTGGATTCCAACAAACAGCAGCAATACTCTCCTGATGGGTCAGACTAGGAGTGCACGCAGTCAACCCCACTGAGCTTTCTGCATGGGAACAGGAGAGGGTGGAAGTGGCATCTCAAGGAGCTGGTCCCAGTTCCAGGCTCAAGACTGCAAGCTGTTGGCACGAGAATTTGCCAGTTGTCCTCAGCACAACCCAGGCAAAGGAGCTCCGCGCTCATCTGCCTTTCACTATCAAAACCCAGAGAACTGCCAAGGCCCACTATGGTCTCTCTCTGGGGCCAGAGTTTGTGCAGTGGGTAGGGCATTTGCTTTGCATGCAGCTGGTTCTAGTTGGATCCCCAGAACACATTTGCTCCACTGAGCACTACCAGGAATGATCTGTCAGCACAGAACCAGGAATATAGCCTCTGAGCACTGCTGGGTGGGTCCCAAATAAAGACAAAAAGAAAAAAAATGGGAGAAAAGAATAACTTCTCTCTCTTTCCTGCAATCACTGTACAAGCCCAGACCTTGCTCACACCGCCAGTTCCTCAGCCACCACCCTGTCCTCTTCCAGGTCCTGCACTGCAGCCAGCACAAGCAAATTCAAGCACATAAATCTTTCATCAACTCCCAGCTTCTCTGCAGGCCAAGTCCAACCCCTCACGGGGCCTTCAAGGGCCTGCAAGAGGAGACTTCCAGGCTAGCTGTCCCCAGCCCCTTCCAACATGCACCACAGTGAGGCCGTGGGCCCTCTGCCAATGGCCTCCTTTCTCTCATCTCCAGCTCCTCACCTACAAAGTAGAAGGGACCCCCACATCCTCTAACCCCACCTTGCTCCTGTCACCTCCTCCCACTCCTCAGATCACTGCTGAGTGATTGGTCCCTTTTTCTTGGGAGTCAGCTGACTTCTCCAAACCAGGGAAGCTGCAATGCTCTGGTCCCCAATTCAAACATCCATTCTTAGTGCAGGACATGCTTCTTGGAAGCCAACCCAGGTTTGACTTGGCACCCAAAATGGTTCCCCACGCCTGTCAGGAGTGATCCTCAAGCATAGAGCCAGGAGTAAGTCCTGAGCACCACTGAGTGTGACCCAAACACTCCATCCTTGGTGGTGGTGGTGGGATATAGAGTGACAAGTGTCCCTCCATGCTGGTATTGCAGAAAAATCTTCACTATCCAGTTTCTACTAGCTGTTCCCTCTCAGAAGATTCTTGACCTTGTACCTACTCCCCCTCATCTCAAGACCCTCCCTCTTCCCTCCCCACCCCAGCTGTCTGATACCCTCTCAGATCTTCAGACTCAACATCCCGCCTTGAAGCCTTGCCCTTGGTGCCCCCATCTTGGGCTGAAGACCACCTCTTCAGAAAGGGCTTTCTCTATCGTCCCCTTGACTGCTTTGTCTCCCAGGCACATCACTTATTTCCTCTGCAACATTTATCAGGTGACAGCATTGTTGGTTTTGCACATATCTGTGTTTCAGGGGCATCTGTGTCACTCACCACTGCCCCTCGGCCATGCTCCACTCAGTGCCTGCAACAACACTGGTGCTCAATCAAAAAGTCTATGAGCCCCTGATCAGGGCAAGTTTCCTCTGGCATGTCACAAGGGACCCACAGAGTGATGGGCTCTGGAGGGTTCTTGCAGCCTGAGGAAAGATCCCTGAGAACTTGGAAGTTAGGGACTGCACATACAGAGTCCTGTGGCCACACTACTTCTCCTCCCTGTCAGAGGAACAGGGGCTTTGGAGGGAGCAGACAGGGTCAGCAGAGGACAGAGGTCTAAGCAGGTGCTCAACAATGCTAACAGGGGCCTGGGAGAGAGCACAGTGGTTAGGGCACATGAGTGGCACACAGGTTCAAGTCCCAGCGACACATGCTTCCCTAAACATGGTGGGGTACAGTACTGGAGGCCCACCATAAGTGCCGAGGTGGCCTTGAGTATTCCTGGCTCTACAGGGTTCTATCAGCAGCACAACCCTGGGTTCTAGCATTGAATCAACCTGTTGGCTGAGAGTCACTGGTGCCCCCCCACCCCCACCCCTGAACCTTTCCCAAATGAAACAAGTGAGACCCCCCTCCTTTCCCAAATGAAACAACAAACAGTGAAGTGAGGGAGCAAACACCCACATGTGCAAGGCCCTGAGTTCCATTCCTAGACTGAAGCACCCTCCCCCCAGTACTCCCAGGATGGCTTCAGTGGTCTCCAATCAGACTGGACATTCAGAGTGGCCCTGCTGTCCCCCAAGCACTATTGGTTGCACCAGCTAAACTCTGCCAGGAGTGGCCCTTACAAAAACCCAAACAAAACTGAAGATGTCTTGACATAAAGTGTGGTCTGGGTCAGCAGTGTGGGCCTGGAACAGGCTAGAAATCAATGTCACTCAGACACCCTGGCATCATCTGCCTTTTGACAGGAGCTCCAGATGCCCATTGACAGGTGAGCCTTAAGTGAAGACCCTGAGCTCCCTCAGAGCCTTGCAGAATCCAGGATAGAAGTGATCCATGCAGGTCCCTGCAAATCCCCATCCCAGACTGGCCAGGGATGTCAGAAGGGAACATCCCTGAGGCTACAAATGCTTTCAAATGGTGATTCCATTCCCCGGGGTTCAGGGATGGGGTGGCTGGCCATAGCCGCTCAGCCAGGATAGACCACCTGTGCACTTGGACAGAGCAGCTGGGTTTTGAGGGCAGAAGTGTCAGGGAGTCCTGGGTTCTCAGAGCAGAGCTGGTGCTCCAATTCCCATGCTGAGTTTCCCTGCATCCCACACCGCACCTGGCTTATCCCAGGCACTCAAATAACTCCCATGAAGGGAATACAGGAACTCAGCAAGCGGCAGCAATGGCAGGGAGCCTAAATCCTAGGGTGAGCACAGGCAGACCTCCTTTTGGGTTTTCTATTCTTGAATTTCCATAGAATGAGAAAATCTGGGGGAAATTCACAGTGCACATTCGGTGAATAAAATATTCATGGCACAGGCAGGGCAGGGAATGGCAGTGCCCCACCTCCAGACTAGAGACTGGGGATGAGGAATGTGGGGGTGGGAGGTCAGGATAGTGAGGGGCTCCCAGAGCTGACAGCTGTGGACTGTGTGTGCAGAGGGCAGGGAGGCACCGGACCCTGAGAAACAGGGGTGACCGTGATGCCACCGGGAACCATCACCTTCCACCCCCAAGGGCACAGTGCAAATGCACTCCCCAGGGGAAAACCCCCATTGAGAGAGCAAATGGGGATAGCTCTGACTGGAGAAGGGGTGCAGGAGTCAGAACTCCCGGGAACCCTCGACTTCCACAGTACAGTATTGGCAGGAGCAGGGGCGAACGCACCTCCTGGCTAAGAGAACATGCATGCACCTGTAAGTCCTGCGACTTCCCTTCTCCCCTTCATTATGCACAGGGGCCAGAGCTATAGACAGAGAACTGAGAGTTCATTTAGGGGCTGGAACAATCTACAGAGTCAGAATAACAGTACAACTGAGCAATTGAACAGTGGTCCGAGGGATCCTAAGGTGCTAGAGAGATTGGACAGGGCCAGAGAGATCATACTGGGGTGAAGGTGCTGGTTTTGCACACGGCCCACACAGTATCACATATGATCACCTGAGCACAGAACCAGGGCCTAGAGTAGCCCCTGAGCATTGTGGGGTGTGGCTCAAATTCCCACACAGGCCCCCAACACAAATGAAAAGCTCCCCTCAGTCCTAGCTCATTTTCCTATGAAACTGTTTATCTTTTTATTGGTTTGAATTAAAATGAATGGTCACCGTGTGTCCCCCCCACTATCCCCAGGGACACCTGAGGAGCTCTGCACTACCCACCGTGCACTGTTCAGAGCTGCAGAGGGTCCCAGACTGTTTGTGCCTTATACCCCTTTTTAGAAAAAAATTTCATTCACCAGCTTAGAAATCTTCCTTCCTCAAACAAATGGAAAATGCCCCTAAAGGTGTCCCTGCCCATGCCCCCCATCAACTGAGCAATATGGTACTAGCATCTTTGGACTGATGCACTACCTCACCTCCACCAGAGACTTTTCTTGAATCACTTCAGGATCACATGCTACTCAGAAACACCCCCACCCCGTCTCCACCAAGCCCTGACCAGTCAGATTCAGAGGACGTGGCGCTTTGATTCGCCTTGTTTCCTTGAGCAGAGAAAAACTTTGGGGCTGCTGTGGGGCAGTTTCTCCAGGGTGGGCGCATTCACAGGCTTCCATTTGGGCAGAGGGACACTTCAGAATGAGCAGACATAGAACCTTTCTTTTTTCATTTTTTGAAAAAAAGTTTCAAGGGACCATGTTATTCCAGGAATCCATGCTGGACAAGGAACATTTTAAATTACACACACACACACATACACACACACAGATCTGGCTCAATGGGCTGGGCGCATGCTCTGCATGAGGGGACCTGATTCCATCCCAAGCACCATTTGATCCCCCAGCACCACCAGTGGTGACCCCCAAGCACAAGCTACTTAGGAGTAGCCCGTGAGCACTGCTGGGTGTGGCCCCCAAACCAAAACCAACCAAACAACCATAGGAGAAGGGAGTCAACTGACCTTGGAAGTGTAGGTGTGGCCATCAGAGCCACAGACCATGGCTGCCTGTGCCGCGGGACAGGGCTTGCACTTGACCAGACTGGCAGGTGCCACCCAGTGTTTGTGGGCCACGTTTCCCTTCTTCTGCCTGAGGAAGGAGAGAAGAGCAGATTGGTTAGCTGATGCTCCGGAACCCTGGAATCTTTCCTGCACATGAACCAAGGGCCGTGGAGACAGTCAGGCAAGTGTGGTCCTCGCCAGCACTCCTGTTTGTTCCAGCTCACTGACCTGAGGCAGGAAATCTTGCTCTCAAAGTCTGCATCCAACCCACCAGATGGACAGAGAGAAAACAATGTGGCCATTAAAAAGGCTGTCAAACACAACCTCTTGAATAAAAACACATTCATGTTAGGGAAGACAGACTCACATACTGGGGCCATGGGACTCCCTGAGTCCCTGAGGTTGGGGCAAAGTCCCTCCCAGGAACCCAGGAAGGTATCCAGGAGCTCAAGCCTCCTCGAGGACCCAGCACCCGGCCAAGCAAGAAACACATCTTCCAAGGCAAGCAAATGAGCAACTTGATCCCTTGGTGGAAAGGCACCTGGGGCACATTTTCTTCCTTTTTTAATTTTTTAAAATTTAAAAAAAAATTTAAATGAATTACCATGAGATAGTTATAGAGTTACAAACTTTCGTGATTATGTTTCAGTCATACAATGATCAAGTACTGCTCCCTCTACCAGTGCCCATTCTCCACCACCAATGTTCCCAGTAACCCTCCCGCTACCCCACCCAGTTCCCCTTCCCCCCTGCCCCCTGATTCTGTGGCAGGGACAATCCCTTTTACTCTCTCTCTCCTTTTGGATATTATGGTTTGCAACACAGGGGTACATTTTCAAGCAATTTCAGAGCAGGGACCGCTGAAAGAAAGGCTTGGGGGGAGGGGATGATGTCACTTTCAACTGTGAAAATCATCAGAATTCCACTCTTCCCTCCCGGCCCGGGGTCTCCCGCCCTGACCCATGTCATCATGATAGATGGTGCCATTAGGATGCTTACGTCCAGGCGAGGAACCCCGGCCCCAATCATGAACCAAGGCAATTTAGTCCTCCAGTGACTGCCTCCCCCTCCACACCTCCCCACTTCTCAGGAGAAGCCACTCCCCTGACCATCCTGCTAGAGTGACCCCCACAGCCACAGGGGATGAGGGTCAACACCCCTCTGGCTGTCAGATGTCAGCAGGGCTCTGCACTGGCTCTCCTGCCTGAGGGGCTCATGTTCGGGCTCTGGTGTCAAAGTCAAAAGTTCAAGTCTCGGCACGGCCTCTCCCTTGGTGGCAATTTGGGCAACACGTCCCTTTCCATCCCTTAAGCCTCTGCATCTCCCTCTTCCCATGCTGAACAAGAAACTTCGTCAGTGGGTGGGACGAGAAGGGCGGGAGCTGCCATGCACACAGAGCTCAGACCAAAGCAGCAGGCAAAGGCAAGCAGGTGATCTCTGTCTCCCGCAAGGTGGCTGGCAGGGGCAATGACTGTTTGCATGGAATCACAGCTTCAGCCTGAGGTCCTGGGTTTGGACGGTGCCCTCATGTGCCCAGGAGGGACCCCAAGAAGGAATTCCAGGGTGTGGAGCAGGAATCTCAGGCTTCCCTGAGGTAAACTCCAGGCTGCCTGGGAAGGCCAGGAAGCTCTCGAGGAGGATGGAGAGAGCAAACGCCTGCACCCAGGGGCTGCTCATCCTCCCTCGAGCTCCCCCAGTGATCCAGAGAAGGTAGGGCGAGGAGGAAGGTAGCCTGGGGAGCTGCAAGGCATGACATGCCCCCAAAGCATGAGCCTGTAGCCACTGGGGGACCCCAAGCTGATAGCTAAGGGACTGAACTTGCTGTCACAGAACAAGAGGGCATGGCAGGAGGGTGGAGCTTTGGGGTCACCTAGCCCAAGCACTCGCTTTATAAATGGAGGAGAGGAAAGGCTAACTGGGCTGGTTCAACTCACAAAGATGAGTGAAGACTAAGCCTACTGGGGTTCCCCATACTTACCCTTCCAGCCCACCTCATGCCTCTTGCCCCATTGAGATACTTAGCTCAGAAACTGTGGGGCAGCTACATCTCTGTCACTAGGGACCTTCTCCCCCACCACCCTGCTCCCCTCTTCCCCAGCAGCTGAGGGTCCTCCCTTGGCTCTCTGTCTGGAATCAAACCCCATTGTTGCACCACTCCCACACCTGGCAGGCATAGCTCTTATCCTGTGTGGCTCTTTCAAATGTTTGTCTGGACCAGAGGACCCCAAATTTACTTGACCTACCTCCCTCTTTTCAGAAAGGGAATCGTTCAGCCTCCATCTCTCCCAGATATCTACCTGTTTTAAGTGAGCAAACAGAAAGTGCCCCCCCCACCACACCCAAGGCTGCAGTAGCCAATCTCCTAAGTCGGCTCAGAACCCCACTGGCACCTGTCTGAGTGTACTGCTCACTTTGAGAAACACTGGTGTGGATAACAGAACGGGATGGTGCAATGAGAATGCACGGAACAGACAGGCTAGCTGTCAGTGTGGGGTAAATTGGTGAGAACCTGGGCCCCGCAGCCATGAAGTGCCACCTAGTTATCCCCATTCCTGCAGCAGACTGGCAGACACTGACAAAGAATCTGCAAGGGCAGGCAGAAGCACTGGGGGCTGGTGGCCCCTCTTCAGGGTCAGTCCCCAGCATGCATACTCGTGGTTGGAGCAATTCTGGCATGAGTTCCCAGACAGGGACTCCAGAATCCACAGAGTCGGCAGTGCTGGAGGAGTAAACACCAGCCTGGGCAGAGATGCCCCCTGAGAACAGCAGCCTGAAGCAGCTTAGTCTAAGGCAGAGGAGGGAGAAGTCCGCTTGGGACCGATTGCTTGCATAAAGAAGATGGAACCAATTGCTGATCAGCTGCTAAGAATGCGTTGCCCTCAGCTCTGAATCTGAGCCATGAAATTTAGCTCAGTGGGGAAGACAAAGAGTGAAGCCAGGCGGGGCTGACTCCTGGACTTGGAACATCAGGCGTGGGTCCCCACAGGCTGACCAATGGGGAGGAGAGGAGCATACCTTAGCAGCTGACCCCCCCACATCACACTGTCAATGCTATTTTCATAATTTCCCTTAATTTCTCTTATCCATGGGTAGAAACACAAGAGACTTTGCATATTGGTTTTGTAGCTGACAATTTTACTGATAGATTTTGTGGAACCTTTTGTGGTTTGTCGACGTGATACTGTGTCACCTGCAAACAGCAACTACTCAGTTGTCTTTAGAAATTTTTGCTAATTGTTGATTTTTGTTTTCAAGTCTGAAGGAGAACTTTTTAGAGAAAATAGCCTGCTGAATTGTTGCTGCAAGTGGCAGCCCATTTTTACCTTCTAGTTAGTGCTAATCATTTCCATAAAGAAACCTTTCTGGAGGCCTAAATTAATAAATTCACTTATTTCATTGCGCAGACATACCTGTCTTCAGGTTCAATATCAAGAACACAAAAAATGCTTGTCTCTGTCAGTGCCCTCGAGGAGTACGCTTTATATTAGGGACAATAGACACAGAAGAAGTGCTTTATGCTGCTGTGACTGTCACTCTTGGGTCTGAACAAGGTGTTCTGTTGGAACAAATAATTTCATGATTAATTCTGCTTGGGGTCGGATGCATAAGGTCAGGGAAAGACTGCGTGAGTAGGCAGTTGATTTAAAGCTCAAACAAGAGACAGACGTTTCCATGCAGATAGAAAGCACTTGCTTTCTTGAATATTTAGTCTTGCATGAGCTTCTGTTGCAGAGACCAGCAAGTGGTTAGTGTGGCTGGCTGGAGATTGAATCCAAAGCACAAGTAGTGGGGGAATGTAGTAAAGGCACGACAGGGATGCACCCAGGAAGGATGGTGAGGCTTTTAGCCTGGCTCTATCCTACCTCTTTCTGGGTAAAGAGTGGCATTTTAGCAGTTGATAAACCCAAATTAAGGTGCTTGCTTGGATATGGATGAAGGGGTAAGTACCCCTGAAGCATGGGGATGCAGCCTGACTGCCAGGGGAGGGGATGATGAAGCTGGGATATAGAAACATCTTCTGGTGGCTGTGAGGAGAGGCAGATGGAGGGGAAGGTGTGGGTGGGAGTGTAGGTATGTCAGAGGAAAACCCACATGATGGCGCCGTGTCAGGAAGAGGCTTGGTAACTTTGGGAAATAATAGAGACTGAATGGAGCCAAATATGTAACCTTGTTGGTATTTGCAAACATGCATGTATGTGTGTATGTGTGTTTGTGTGCATGTGTACATATATGTACACATGTGTGAATGTGTTTGCATGTATGCAAATATGTATTCATGTGGATAAGTGTGTGTGTGTGTTTATTGTCGAAGGAAGGGTCTGTGCTTGTGTGTATTGTCAGGGAACAGTAGATTACACAGAAAATCTGTGAAGAAAGCAATTTCTGTTTGGTTTGGTTTTAGGGCCATACCTGGGAATGCTCAAGGCTTGTGCCCAGTGATGCTTAGGGAACCACATGTTGCTGGGGGGCGGGGGGTGCGCAGAACTAGTGCCTCATGCTTTCAAAGTGTGCATCCCAACCCTTTGATCCCTCTTGCAGCCCCAAAGATGGAGATTTTTAAGGATGGGAATCACATTGTTATATTTGCACTGAAGAATCATCACTCTGCTTTCAAAAATGTACATGAGCGGAATTTCAGTCACCTTAACAAAAGAAAAATGAAAATAAGCAGTTGGGCGCAAGAAAATCAGGATGCTGGTGAGCTGCTTTTTTCTCATCACCTAGGGCTTCTGCGGGCCATGTGGCTGTCACTCAGGTAGGAGGTGCAGCTGCCCCAGCCCCAGGCAGGCAGGGACAGGGTTAGGGCTTTGTGACCAGTGGCAAGCCTGGCAGAATCTGCCTCTCAGGCTGAATTGCTTGTGTCACCCCAGTTGATGAATCTCTGTGACACTGGGAATAGCAATCCCATCAAGACACCTTCATCGGATTTCACTCTTCATTGACTCAAGAAGTGAAATATCTTAGAGTCAGAAAGCTTAGTCCCTTGTCAGACAGGGCTGGTTATATTTTTCATGGTTTGCACTGGATTGTGGGAAAAGAAATGCACACATAAGAGCGAGGGAAGTTCTGTTTCCTTTGGCTCACAAA